GTCCGCATTGTCCTTTGATGCTATGAAAATGTTCAACATACATCTTATATTTAACATTTTCTCCTGTCGCCTTCCAAACTAGCTAGAAGGTTGATAATATCAAGTCTGACTTGCCTCCTCTCTCTCCTGCTCTCTCTCTCTCTCTCTCTCTCCTCTCTCTCTCTCTCTCTCTCTCTCTCTCTCCTCTCTCTCCTCTCTCTCTCTCTCTCTCTCTCTCTCTTTCATCTTCCTCACGCCGCTCTCTCTCCTCTTTCTCTCTCTCTCTCGTCACTCTCCTCCTCGCTCTCTCTCTGCTCTTCTCTCTCCTCTCTCTTCTCTGCTCTCGTCCTCCTCGATCTCTGTCTCTTCCCCTCTCTCTCCGAGCGCTTCTCTCTCTTCTCTCATCTCGCTCGTTTCTTTTCTCTCTCTCTCTCTCTTCGCTCTTCTCTCTTCTCTTTTCGCTCTAGACAGACGTCACTGGTTGTTAATTTAAACAGTTGGTTAGTAACTCACCCACGGGCTCTATATCTACCTATCTAGCACTCAGCTAGCACTCTTGCCACGTAGTCGCCCTGCCTTCACTACGCGATGGAAGCTGCGGCTGAGAGATGCGGGATGAGGATGCGGGATGCTGTAATTAGCGTGATCGCTTTCCACAAATGGCTTCACTAAATGCAGTCACTAAATGAAACCAGTATGCGAGACCGACAGAGTGACGATGGAGGTCAGGGACAAAGGTCATGTGGGAGATGAGGGGAGATGAGGGGAGAAGGGGAGATGAAGGGAAGTGAGAAGAGAGCAGGGGGAGACAAGAGGCGGTCATAAAGAGGAAGATGAGGGAAGAGGAGAGAGGAAGGGTACTGGGATAAGGGAGAGGAAGTAGGAGATGGGGCTAACTCTAACCCAAGCCCTAACCCTGACATTGATTCTGACCCTGACCCTAACTCTAACCCAATCCCTACGCCTGACGTTGACCCTGACCCCGACCTTGACTCTAACCCTAAACCCGATCTTGCCTCTAACCCAAGCCCTAACCCTGACAATGATTCTGACCCTGACCCTAACTCTAACTCAAGCCCTAACCCTGACATTGACCCTGATCCTGACATTGACTCTAACCCTAACCTCTCCATCTCGTAGACACGGACTATATCTGTCGATCTGTTGTTCTCCTGTTGTTTGTTTCACGCAGGCAGAGTAAGATCGTCATGGAGAGATCACAGTGGCGCACCTCGGAGCGACGATGTAAAGAGCTGGCGAACGCCCGCAGACTCGCAGATCGCGCAAAATCTCGCGAGACTGAGGTGTTGCTGCGGGCGGCCCGCCGCGTGGCGCGCGGTCGCGAGGAGGCGGCGCGCGCGTCGCATCGTGTCGCCGCCGACGACCTGAGGCGACGACTGCGCGAGACGGAGACGGAGCTGGAGGAATGTCGGACGACGCTGGTCGCCAGCGAAGAACGAGAACGCCGCCTGCAGGTGGCGCGGCGCACGACCCGCGAGGAGTTTCAGCGATTCATTGAGCATGCGCGAGACTTCACGCCCGGACAGGCCGACTTCCTGCTTCCGCTGCAACTCGACTAGCGTCGCGCGAGGTCTCACGAGAAGTCCGCATGACAGTAGTCGTGCGGTAACATGCAATCTTACTTCACTTTGTGTGTTTTGCTTTAGCCGTCGCTCGAGCATGATGTATGCGCGTATACAAGTGTTGCAATCAGCGCCACCTACAGGTTCATTTAGAGATGATATTGACGGGCGCGTTATTTGCTAATAATTCTAGTTCTCTGTGACTTTTACCATATATATAATCCGTAAACTGGTTATAATTCAGCGCTGCAGTTTTATTACTGCCGACTCTCCGCCGCCAGCCAATTTATTTATCAAATCATATATTAATGTCTTACGTTTTATCATCAAAAGTGTTTCGAGTTACGACGTGAGTGGAATAGATCTGTTATAATGATTATATAACACACGAGTCCGTCCTGCCAAACGCACTCTGCTTCGTAATTACGTCTTTGAACGTCTCTTTTTTCTAAAATCGTACTTTTTGTTGTTTGTTATAAAAATGTAGTTGAAGAATTGCGTGCGACGGCACGCACGCACATACACGAACGGACGCACACACGCACACACGCACACACAAACTACGCGTGTGAGCGCGCGCACGCACGCTGGTACGCGCACGCGCGCGCATACACGCACGACCACACGAACAGTAAAACCGCACATATTCGCGAGTGCACATAACACACGCACCTACACGCACTACTTAGACAGTCAAGAGCTCAAATAAACAAAATTGAATTTGTTACTCTACTGTAAACGACACTTTCTGATATAGAAGTAGAAGTGCTTGACGCGCTGCAATGGTCTGCCACACCCATACACACGCTCCGAAACACAATGCTAAAGCCTAGGACACACTGTGCGATTTTCTACGCTGGCCGCTTGCGATCGATAAATACGGTGCCGGGTCCGCGCGGTGTG